CTCAGATCTGTGAATGACCCAAAGCACAGAGGGAGAGATAATCTGTTTCAGATAACACAACTGATACTTAGAAAACAAAACAGAACAGTAAAAAAAAAAAAAAAAAAAAAAAAAACCTTCTCATCTAGGTAGGAAAATGGACTGAGACTCATCAGTTCAAGAAAAACATAAGGAAACCTGTCTGCATGGAAAATGTCTTAAGTGAATACAAGTTAGTAGGGATCTCACGGCTTGGGAAGCAGATACAACTGGAATACGCCTGTATTCTTGCTTAGTTATTATTTGCACCCTTCATATTTTGCCTAGGAGCTGGGAACCCCCCCCCCCCCAAGCGTACATGTCTTAAAAGTCAAGCTGGCCAAAAGCAATTTGAACTAGGTTCAAGTACTGTATTTAAAATGCATATAAATGTGTCAGAATCTCATCAATGCCATTAAATGAATTCTAAAACCAAACTACCTAGGTTCAGAGCCTAGCTCTAGGAATTACGTGTGTGTCTTTGAGGAAGTTACTTAACCTCTCTGTGGGTGTTGCTTGCCTCATCCACACAATGGAGACAAAAAGGCTACCTCCCTCCAAGAGTTTTGGTTAGAACTGAGTGGGTTAAGTTATGCAAAGAAAAGCCTTAAAAGAGGAAGCAAATGCTTGGTGATGTTTCTTTAGTTTAGTGATTTGTGTATGCTTTCAAAAGATGGAGAAACATTTTGCCTGGAGGGATCTAAACTCTGGCCAACCTCAATACACTCAGGTCTCAATTCTGAGTTAATCTCTAGTCCAGGCTAGCCAGGAACTCATTATATTGCTTAGGCTGGCCTTGAACTCTCCATCTTCCTACTTGAGTGCTGGGATAGTAACCATCCTGGCAGGAATAAAGATACTCTAAAGAGACATTGTGTCCTTCCCTTTGGCCATGAGACTCTTAAAATAATGGACCACAAGAAATTGGGATTTCTCCAGGATCTCATGCTAGAAGAAGGAAAAGGCTGAACTATAGCGCCAGCCTGATGGGGAGCTTATCTCCTGGAAGGAGATTTCACTCAATTTTTACAACCTGCATCCTGTAGGATAGATTGAATCTCAAACAATGATGGTTCAATGACCAGGATCAATGACCAATGACTATGCATACCTCTTATCATCTGTTTAAACCTCAACCTCATGAAAGTATCCCAAAGATGGACTTGAGGGCCTTTGGACCTCTTTGTTCCCCTTTCCAACATGCTACATTAGGAAAAAAAAATCTCTTTTCTCCACAGTTCACCATGACTTATCTCTTTAATTGGCCTGTTGAGGACAGGTGGATGAGTCTAGCTCATTAGAGCTGCCAGGAACCAGGATTACAGGTGTCTGCTGCCAAGCACTAACCCCATTCGCTCCCTGTTGTCAGGTTGTGCTGATCCACTCCTGAGAGAGGGATGAGAAGAGCCAATCACCCCCTCCCCAGCACGGCTTGAACTACAGGTGCTTTTATGTTGTCCCTGAGACCTGGAGGTTCCTAGTGAGAGGTCTGTCCCTGTACTGGCTGGACTTCAAAGACTGTCGTCTAAGAACCTGTGGCCACTAGGAAAACACACCTTCCATACCTAGAGCTTAGTGGAGCTATGAGAATTAAGCATCACTACTTTCTCCCTTAGCTACACTTTCTTTTCTTCCCAGTGGGTTTGGGAAGGAGCAGAAAGGCTGTTACCCTGTGAAGATGGAGCATTCTATAAATGTCTATTTGTCCAGAGAAGAAAAACCTTGCTTTGGTTCAAACCCTCAATTTGTTTGTAGCCCAATACATCATCATGCTCAGATCTCAACCAAAATCAGTCTCCTCATGAGCACAGTGGTTTTAATGCCAGGAAAGCCAAGAACCTACACCATCCACCTCCTCTCAACTGAGAACAATCTTGTATCATTGTTTGTAAGAGCAAAGTCACTGTCTAGGAAATAAGCTCCCAGCAGGAGATGCCAGAGCCTTTTGAGGCTTTGGAGGGCGCTGGGGAGATAGAGTTCATCAGTTAAGTGCTGACAAGCATGAGAATGTCAGCTCAATCCCCAGAACCCAGAACAACAACAAAAAAAAGGCACAGTGGTGTGTGTCTGTAATCTCAGGAACTGCGAGGTGGGAAATGGAGACAAGCAAGTCTCTGGAGGCCGGTTAGTCTAGCCTACTTGATGATGTTCCAGACCAAAGACCCTTGTCTCAAACAAAAGATGGAAGGACATGAGGAATGACTCCTGAGGTTGTCTTCTAACCTCCACAAACATGAACACGTGTGAAGAACCACACTGGCATACATATGCGCTCCTGCAGCACCACAACTGCACATGCATGCACACACACACATGCACATGCACAAGCACACACACACTCACATCCAGCTCTGTAGTATTTTCTACATTGCAGAAGCACATCCTTTCTCACAAACTCAAAACAAATTTGAAGCAACCAACACAAAACAAAACAAGACAAAACCCACACTGGAAAACTGCCAGACCTGGTCCTAAAACTTGAATGTGCTTTCTCCCCATTTGCCCTAACATCTTCAGTTCTTCTTACAGGCCATTCATCTTACGAACGCCAAAGCATAGGACACTAGATGCTGTCCTAATGGCTTTGCAAACGATGCCTCATTTAAGCTTTCACACCAGCTCCATAAATGCATGTTGTTATGATCTTTCTCCACATTTTCAGAAGGGGAAACCGAGACACAAATGCATAGCTGTAAGTAGCCACATCTGGAAGGAGACAGCAACAACCAAAGTGTACAGTCTGAACCCGCCCTGCTGCCTTTGACTCTGCTGTGTTCATTGGTATTTTCCGAACAGAATAGACCCTTCCAGAAGGCAGAGATAACTTTTTCGTGGAGTATTTTGTGATAGATACTGAAGGTAATCAACAAATGCATTATGACGTTGCTAGCTGTTCACAGTAGCAATGCTCCAAATCTCATTTACCTTAAGACACTAACTGGGCAGGAGGAATCAGTTCCCTACAATATGTTCAAATGCTTTGGAAACAACGGCAGCCACTCCAGCACCCTGACAGGAGCCAACCTCTCAGGATGTCTGCTCGCTTTGAGGGGAGAGGGGAAGGTGCCTTCCCTGCAACAGTGTGCATGACCTCCCCTGGACCTGTAACCACCACACCCTTTTCAGTTTCCCAGACTGCAAAACACCGTCTTCTCCCGCATTGTTCTCTGAGGAAACTTGGCAGCAGGCTCAGAACATGTTTCTTCCAGCCCCCAGCCCTGCACATGAAAGGCGGGCTGCTGTCTGCAAGGCCCCCAGCCGCCCCTAAGGTCCCTGCCAGAGCTTGCTTAGGGAGTGGCCCTGTCTCTTTTGTCAGTGTCCTGACCTGGAGAGGCTGAGCTGGAGGGGAACAATAGCTGGCTGGCACGGGGCTGGCGGGCTCCAAGCTGCTGTCTCAGCCATTTGGTCTGACCCTTGCCTCCACCCACGCTGGAGACGGACAGAAGGGTAGCCAGGAGGACCTCCAAGAGGCTCTAGCTGATGTCCTTGGGAATGTCCCATGCTTTATGCCATGCAGGATGGCAAGGGGGCTCAGCTCTCCAGCCGGGGCTACCGACTCTTCTCTCCTCAATCCCATTGGGTAAGCAGTCTTTAGCGTCCACATTGGACGTTTTGCTTTGAGAGGTTCTCTGGGTTTACTAGAACAAGGCAGGAAAACTCTAGCTACAAGGCCCTCACTTAAGGTTATGACAGCCAGAAACTCTCTAACTAGAAATGCCTTGGGTGCCCCTCCAAGGCTGGCAGGTGAGGCTGAGGTCTGTCTACCCCAGGGAAATGAGGAGGCAAGGAGCTAAGCTAACAGGCTGCTTCTTTGTGGTAGCACTGTCTCCATCTAAATCATTCCCTGGAAACTGGAGTACATTTCGAAGGTGAAGAAAACACCCCCACATTGCTTGAGCACTGCTCCATCGCGGATGTGCGGTGATTTGGATGTGAAATGTCCCCACAGCTTCGTGTGTCTGAACCTTTGGCCCCCAGCAGAGAACACTGTTTGGGCAGGTTGTGCAACCTTTAACACTGTGGCCCAGCTAGTCGTCAGCCTTGATGATTTCCACTTCGACTTCTGGCTTACACGCTCTGCTTCCTCATCTCCGCCATCACAGACTAAGCTCAACCTGCTTTCAGGCCTTCCCCACCAAGATGAACCATATTCCCTTGAACCATGCACTGAGATGAAGCCTTCCTCCCTTAAATCGCTTTTGCCAAGTGTTCTGCCATTATAGTGAGAGAAGTAACCAATGCAGGGTGGAGGCTTCCTATGCAAAAACTGAGAACCAGAGAAGTGATTGACAGTAAGGCATCCACTCTTTCTCACTTCAGTAAGTACTTTTCCCTTTAACATGTACTTCACACTTTAACATGTTACTGTCAGCTGCGGTCACCCATGCAGGGTGAGGGAAAACAAGGGCAATTACCAGGACCTAAAGAGAAATTTGCACAACTCTGAGGATGAGAACCTCTTAACACTTGGAGCTCAATGGCAAGCATTTGCTCAACATGCACAAGGTCCTGGGTTTGATCTCTGCTCTAGAAGGCAGGAAAGGGGTGGGAGGCTGTTGAGAGGGAGAAGGGGAGGTGGGAGGGTGGGCCTCTAGGAATAGTGGCACACATCTGTAATACCAGCATTTAGGAAGTTGAGGCAGGAGGACTACTAATTAAAGCTAGCCTAGGGTATATAGAGAGACCCTATCTCAAAAATCCAGATGAAAAGGGGGTAGGGAGGAAGGAAGGAAAGAAATCCAAAGGACAGACATCTCCTGCAGTCTAGGAGGTGAACTGGGGCACTCAGGAAGGTAGCTATCCAAGATGAGGGACTGCCTAAAAATAACATGAACTTCAAGTCACTGAGTGACAGTCTCTTCCCAGGCACAGCTGGGTCAGTCAGTGCAGCAAAGTATTGGGGGAACAGGAGACAAGGAGACTGAGCGTCCCCAGGGGAGTTAAGCAAAGCTATTTTGAAGCCAGTTTATTGGACAGCCACAAAGATTCCCACATGTTTTCTCGGTGACCATCAGAGACTCTTCGTGCAGGGAGCTGATGAAGACAGTCAGCCCAGGACAAAACTGACCTAGCTAGAGGTAAGAATACAAGATGGGGAAACAGCACAGACAAGCAAATGGCTGGAGGGGTGGAATTTTATGGGAGGCTTTTAGCCAGAGCAGAAAGCCTCTATTTGGGAGCTTTCTTTGCTCTAAGGAGCCTGGGGACACTCCAGCAACTTGAGGGTTGGCTAGGGAGAGAGGTAGCTGAGGAGTGACTTGTTGGAAGCAGCTGATCCGACTGTCCAGGCTAGTCCCAGGTGGGACTAAGGTGTGTCTGAGGGAAGCAGGAGGAACCAGGCACTAGTTGTCTAGAAGGATCTATCCACTCATGTCCATAGTGCTGGGGATTTTCCAAGTTTCCTCGCCCTAGTGTTCTTTGCAAAGCCAGGTTCAAAGGTTCTGTCTTCTCCAATCTATCATCTGCAGTAGTTCCTGCTGCTCAGATCCCGTGCCCTGAGATCCTATCTGTAGCTCCAGGTGAGTCAATGTCCAAGACTCCTGTTTGTCCCCAACTCATTGGGCACAAGTCCACACCCTGAGATAGGAGGTTACCCTCTTGAGCCCTCTTTCACCACTAAATTCAAATGCCTTCCTGTTGTCGCTGTGCCCTCAGAACATCCTGTATGCAAATAGGAAATACCCATCAAGGTTTCAGTGGCTTGTGTCCCAACCCTAGAGCTGCTATTTGTAGAAGTGATCCGGACTCAGCTTACATCTGTTGAGAAACTACTATGTGCATGCCTGAAGCTTCACGTGTGTGACATCATCACTAACCAAAATGGATGATCTTGTTGGATAGAAGCAGACGGTCACTACTGTGGTATCTGACTTATAATTCTTTATTCTTTTTTTTAAATAAAAGTATGTGGATCCTTTCTTTGTAAAATAATCTTAATAATGATCAAGTCTAACTAAAAAGATTCTCTTTAAGTTTTTTATAGTTTTTCAATTTTTATTCATGTGTTTCTCTAACTCTTTCTCTGTGTGTGTGTGTGTATTTGTGTAAGTGCCCACCAATTCCAAAAGAGAGCACTAGATCCCCTGAAGCTGGAGTTACTGGCAATTGTAAGCTTCCAGATATGAATGCTGGGAACAGAACTCAGATCCCCCGCAAGAGCAACATGTGCTCTTAACCACTGAGTCATCGCTCTAGGGCCAAAACAAGGTTTTATTAGTAGTAAAATAATAATATTAGTATTATTATTTAAAATAATAATAAAAATATTACCAGTGTTATGGTCAACAATTGAAACAAAAGTATAGCATACAGAATCCTACAAAGAACCTCTTTAAAATATGTGAGCACTTAGATAAATTAGAAACTATTTCAGTTCCTATATTTTGTAATACAAACTAGACATGAGGTTTGAAATTATACACAGCTTACAAACTAGGATGGTTAAGAATCAGTATTGAGTGATAGTCATTTTTATTCAGCTCGTGGTTTTGCAGTTTTATGACAGTGTAGAGGTCATGTTCAATGGAAACTATGCTTCTGTTTTTGAATTTTAATCATTTGCTACGCTGGCTCAGTGTGGTATGACAGTCTCCAGCGAGCCACAACTGGCAGTCAATCCCACAATCAAGTGGTATGTAACTCACATTCTATACTGTACTAAGTTCTAAACTGTGATGGCCAATGGATTAGATATTTCAAACGCAATTTCAGCGCATTTTGAATTTAAAAAATTAAAAATCGAGTTACCTATGACCTAGCTATGCCACTCTTGGACATTTACCCAGAGGACTCCATAGCAAACCACAAAGATACCTGCACACCCATGATCCTCGCTGCTCTAGTTGTGACACAAGGACATGGAGCTGTCATAGAAGCCCATCAGCAGATGGATTGATAATGAAAATGTGCTGCAGCTACACAAGGGAATTTTACTCACCTATAAAGAAAACCAAAATTATGAAATGTGCAGGGAAGTGGACGATCTGGAAAGTATAATAAATGAGACAATGCAACCTCAGAGAGTCAAAAGCATCATATCCCCCTCATATGTGGCTCCTAGCCTGTAAAGTATTCATGTGTACACTGTGACTGAGTAAAACCTAAAAAAAACTAGAAAGAAAACCAAAAGAAGGCGAAAATAAGTGATAAAAAAGGATGAGGGGTAGGCAAAAAAAAAAGACAGATGAGATGTGAAACAGAAGGAAACTAGTGGGGTGGGGTAGAGGGGGAGTCCATGAAGAGAAATCAGGGGGAAGCAAGCAGGGGACAATGTGGGGGACGGAGAATTCATTAAAACACACTTTGCTCAGAAATGCCATAATGATATCTAATACCTTGCATGTTAATTTTTAAAAATCGTTTTAAAAAAGTTAAATAAGTTAAAAATAGAAACTTGGACATCTCCCGAGGAACACTATCATCTGATGTTGACTTCTGGTCTCTACATACACCACACACACACACACACACACACACACACACACACACACACACACACGTGCACACCCACACCCACGTGCACACCCACACCCACACAAGCACAAACACACATGCAAATCAATTTTTAAATGTAATTTAAAGGGACTAGAGATGGCTTAGTCAGTAAGAGCTCTTGAGTTGCAAGCATGAGAGCCTGAGCTCAAATCTCCATCACCTACATGAAAGCTGGGCATGGCTGTGCAGGCCTCTAACTCCAGCATTCAGGGGAGGAGGTAAAGACAGATAGATAGATCCTAGGAGCTCATTGGACAGGCAGCTCAGTCTGGCTGAAAGGAGGAGCTTCTGGTTCTGAGAGAAACCTTGTTTCAAGGCAACAATGTTGAGCATGGTAGAGGAAGATGGCCAACATCTTGTTCTGGTTTCTACATGGACACACACAGGCACATGAACCCACACTCTCCCTTGCACATACCACACACACACACAAATGCAATTTCAGCTTAATGAAATTCTCAATTTGCAGTGAGTTTATTGGTGCATCAGCCTGTAATAAGTCAAGGAACATCTGTATACAAGTAAAAGCTTCAGAGGCATGAGAGTGGAATAAACCAGAAGCAATGAGCTTTGCTACAGGCACAGCAACTACAAGGATTCCAGGAAGAACATCCCAGCTGCCAAGGTTGTTCCGAGAAGGCTTCATGCAAGATCTGGAGCATGCGCCGAGGGAACTCACTTTGTCGTGTGTTAGAGTGGGAGCAGAAATCTGAGGGCAGACCCAGAGAGGCCATGAGAAGTAAGGAAGACCACACAATTCATTGAAAAGTTCTGGCAAGAACTCAAGTCATGTACTATGGGGTAGTGCAGACTGTGAGTACAGTCTGAGGCTTGGGGATGGGGTTAAGGACAGATGAAGTGGAATTTTCCAAAGGTTGGTGTAGATATAGTGTAAGGTAGACCACAGGGGGAAGACCAATGAGAAAAAGTCAACTCCAGAGCCCTGTACTAGAAAATCTGGTCACCAAACCGCCTAATGACCCAGTTCGTGTCATGAACAGCTTGATGAAGTGGCCTCTTCTTAAGGGGTTCCATGAAGGGTGAGGCTGATGCCAGGAATTGAGATACTGACAAAGAAGAGGTTGGGGCACATTGTCCTGTCTACCCACCTTCTCTACCTAGGGCAGAGCTGGAGTACTGCCATCTGCACAGAAAATAACCCCAGGGAATGGAAACAAAAACTTTCACTCCCCAGGCGTGGGATCTTGTCCCCAGGTGTTCATCTGTGTGGGACTCCCCAGTGTCCTGCCTTTGGAGAGCCCTGGCTCTATCCTGGATCCCCACACAAAGGCAAAGCCTGCTCTCTATTACAGCCAATCCTAGGCCTTTGGATAGGAGTGACATTTTTTACTTAAACTGATAGCATACTTAAATGGCAGAATTTCCTACTTTCTCAAGATCTGGAGTAGTAGTCCCTCTATAACTGTACCCCTTCTCCAAAATGTGTGCCAGTCCCAGATTATGCCATACTGCCTAGTTGCTGTTTTGTGTCTTTTTACTCTCATACTACCCCCCATTCTTCTCTTTCCCAAAAAGAAACAGAGAGGAGAGTATGTGGGCACCCAGGGAATGGAGATATGTGACAGTCTTCTATGTCACGGAGAGCCAGAACATGTCCTTTAGAATGTCAGGAAGAACATTTAGGACATTCTTCAAATTGATGATTCAAGCTCTAACCACGGTGGAGGACTAGACTCCTCACCAGAGCTTTAAAGGAGTATCTGCCAGAGCTGGGGAGATGGCTCAGTTGGTGAGATGCTTGCAGTACAAGCATGAGCGCCTGAGTTCAGTCTCAGGCATCTGTAAAAAGCCAGGCATGGGACCATGCACCTGTAACCCCAGCACTGGGGAGGAAGAGAAAGGCAGTCCCTTTGGCTGGCTGGCCAGCCAGTCTAGATGAATTGACAATCTTCAGACCAGAGAGAGACCATGACTCATAAAATAAGGTGGAGAGCAATAGAAGACATCCAACATTAACCACTCACCTCCACGTGCATACAGGTGCACACACAGAAACACACACAAAGCAGGGGAGGGGTGTGCTCAGTTTATCTTCCCGTCCTGTTTATGTCTTCCTGTCTATGTGCCTGCACATGGTGGATGGTCCCCAGTGTTCAAGCCTTTCTCTTTCTGTATCACTTTAGATAAATCTCACACACATGTTGGGGACCCTTGTCTTCAGAATCTCAGAATCTAGGCTTGATGCTACCCTGTGAAAGTTAAATACAACTAAATTTACATCTGTTTTTCAAATCTTAATATTCATGAGACACCAATCTTGAACATCAGAAGGGATTGAGGAGGTAGATGACATGGTCACAACTATCTAGAGCTAGCTAGAAGATTTGGAAGGTGTGGTTGATACACAGGACCTGAAACACTCAGGGCTTGAAGTTGTCCCACTGGATGACAAGGGGGCTCATGCCTGAAGAGGAAATGCACTCTTCTGACCCTGCAGCTATCTGGACTCCAGACTAAACTTCCAGGTGGACTGTAACACCTGTCCTGGTTTATCAAGGAACCTTCCAGGGATCTAGTCAGCTTTCCAGGCACAGGCTCAGGCAACCATCAAGGGCTGAGTGCAGGAAAATGGCTTTCCCAGCCCACTTACTCTGAGAGCTGGCCACCCACAGTGGTTCCATCTAAGCTGGGAGGTCTGCTCTGCCAGCAGACGGTGGAATGGCATAGCTAAAGGCTTCCTGGGAAAAATGAGCTGGGCCTGCTTTCACCTGTTGACCACCCCCGCCCCCCACCCCCCACTACCGACAGCTGTACGAGATGAATGAGCCCCACTGGGGCCAGCAGCTAAGGACAGGCTAGCTCCAGCCCCCAGATCAACCCCCAACCCAAGTGTGTCCTCTTGCTCCTGTGCATGTGCACACACACACACACACACACACACACACACACACACACACACACAATGACAAACGTCCTGAAAATGTGGAAAAGACTCAAACTTCACTGAGTACAAGGATTCAGCCCTCCACCCAACCCCAGTGTCACCCCCACTAGGAGCTCATGTGAGGGAAACTTAATAGGGTGTTCACAGGATCTTGAGCTGTATGTTCACGGCCCATCCTTTATGGATTTTTTTTTTTTTTCTGTCTTCTCTCCTTGCATCACTAAGGATGAAGGAACCTAGTCTGTGTAGAGGAGGCAGCAAAGCACATCAGTACCACTTCTGGGAGCCACCTCTGCAGCAACTCTTCCTCAGCCACCCAGGAGCAGATGCAAACAGGTGGCCCATGACCAGGTGACCCGTGGCAGCCATGATTTCTTGCCTTTCCTCTTCATATTTGCCTGCTCAAGAAATATAACCCTGGTGTTCAAAAAAATCTCTTTATACATCACATTTGGCAAATTGTTCCTCCATTCACTTTGGGACCCTTAGAGATTCCCAGCATTTAAGCATGTTGCTGTCTGTGTGATTCAAACACAACTGAATTGTGCATCTGTCTCTCAGAGCTAAGTGGACACAAAGCACAGGATTAGGCTATTAGAAATAGAAATAGAAATTTGGGCAGAAAAAGAAACTAATGGCATGTTTGGGGGTTCTGTGTCTCATAATGTCATATCAGGACTTTTTTTAAAAAATTTGGCTAATTTATTTTTACTTTTATCTTATTTTACTTATGTTTTTTTTTCCTCTCTTTTTTCCCTACAGGTCCTTTGAGTATATATTATGGCTTCCAGTTTAATGTTTTTATAGGACCCCTGAGTGTGCAGACGAGTGGGTCTCTGCATCTGTATCTGTTTCTTGTGCCTTTTATGGCGCTCTTTTCCTTCTATTGGTTTGTTTTGTCCTTTTCAGATGTGTTAGTTTTTGTTCTCTTTTATTTTATTATTATCCCTTAGATGCCTGTTTGTTTTCTAAAGAGAGACAGAAAGGGAATAGATCCAGATGGGAAGTGAGGTGAGGAGGAACTTTGGAGGGGGCGGCACGTGTAGCGGGAGGGGAAACCGTAATCAGGATATATGAGGGAAAAGTCTATTTTCAATGAAAGGAAAAATAAAGATAAGAGAAATAATTTTTTTTTTATCCAGGTGCAGTGATGCATGCTTGTAATCCCAGCAGTCAGGAGCCTGAGGCAGGAGGATTGTAAATTTGAGTCCAGCTTGGTTACATAGGAAGTGCCAGGCCAGGATGGGCTGCACAGCAAGAAAATGTCTAACTGAAGAAGGAAGAGCACGAGGAGGAGGAGGGGGATGGAGGGAGGAGGGAGAGGGAGGGAGAGAGGGAAGAAGGGAGGAAGGGAGGAAGAGGATTTAAAGGGATAATAGTACCAACTTTACATGACTTTCTGACGAAGGAGAGGAGGGGCTGGGGCCAAGTCTGCATGTTCTAAAGCACGGAGTAATGGAATTCCATGTGGAGCGCTGATATTAGTACCAGAAACTAAGAACCATCTTGTTTGTGGAGGAATGTTTTGTAAAATTGTCCAGATCACAGCGAAAAGAAGGAAAAGAGAACCTACCATCGCCATTGCCGGCCCATCAGATCATTTCCTGGGTCTTGCTGGCAATATCTGACCTGGGAGGTCACAGAAAGCCCCTGTGAGAACCCCCCCATTCTAATATTCATAATCTAGTTGTTAAATGTGATCAATATATTTTTCTTGTCTAAATAATTCCTTACTATTCATGGTAGGAAATTTTGAAAGTACAAATAAGCAAAAAGAAGAAAACATAACTAATGTGTCTTCTCACCCGGTGACATGTCATTCTTCCACTTTTTCTGCAATGTCTAAGCTTTCTGTTGTTAAATTGTAGCTTGTAGAATGGTAGCATTGGTTTGAGGCATATCTATATTAGATTATGCATTTGCTATGCATGTTCATATGCGTATGCTATGCTGGCTCAATGAGAATGACACACTGGAAAGAGTTCCTTATAGGAATCATGACCGTTTGACTCACATTACCTCTTGAATGTGTCGTTAACCCAGATGTCTTTGTACAAAGAAAGCTAGGGCCCATACCTATTTGTTTCTCAGCCCCCAACATAATCATCTACCTTAACAGAACTTCTAAGAATTTCCGTTGTTATTATTTGGGGTTTTTTTTTTTCTGTTTTCTTTTGTTTCCAGTGCTGAGAATTAAACCCAAGGCCTTATGCATGCTGAGCAAGCACTCTACCATTGAGCTCCATCTCCAGACACTGCTGAACCCAAACATTATCATTTTTCCCTTTTGCCTTCCAGTGCTGTACGGCTGTGATGCACATTGGATAATGGTACACGGATGCACGTGTAAACTATTTCTTAGAACTCTAATCACTTTCACAGCAATCTATCCACACCGGCAGTAAATTATATAATAGCCAATGTGCCCAGGACTGGTCCTTGCCATGAGAAACAGTTGTTCGTTAGAGTCCACAGATTAGAGACAATCATATAACATGTCAGCAGATGTGTTCACAGGCTTTAACAGAGCTGGAGGGGGACTTAAAAATGAGTATGCACCTTTCTCCACCATGACATCCTTCCCTTTACAGATGGGGACATGTCTGCAGACTCAGCCTGAGCCAAAGGCCTCTTTCAGAAACCCACATGTTTGTTCCTGAGTCCCCGCATGACTTCTTAGTGATCTTTGTACCTTCTGATTTGGATACATGCCTGGAGTTGTCATTGAGTTAACATTAAATCACTTTATTTTGGGGAATTGACCTTCCTTGGGGGAAAGAGGGTGAATAGGTGAGACAGGGTCTCTCTATGTAGCCCTGACTGTTCTGGAACTCACTAAGTAGACCAAACTAGCCTCAAACACAGAGATCCACCTAGCTCTGCATCCCGAGTTCTGGGACTAAAGGTGTACACCACCATGCCTGGCTGGAGGTAATTCTTTACGTAGCCCAGGCTGACCTCAAACTTGTGACCAAGGATGACCCTGAACTTCTGATCCTCCTGCCTCCCAGATTATAGGTACCCAGCAGCACACTCAAGCTCATGCAGTGCTGAGGATGGAACACAGAACGTTGTGCATGCTAGGCAGGCATTCTACCAACTGAGCTACAGCCCCAGCCCCATTGTAAATCATTGTGCTTACACTATCTTCCTCCAAAAGTAAAAAATCACTAAGAGAAAGTGACAAGACTTAGGAACTTTACCAGCCCCAAAGAGTTAAGAGGGGGCTGGTGATGTCAGGGAGAGCCCACGGCTGCCTGGACAGGAAAAGAACTCAGGGCTGTTTTTCTTCTCTGAAAACCAATCCCTGTTGAGTCTCGTGGGCTCTTTAAACCAAATGTCTTTACAGCTTGAAATGAATAACTACATGACCTCAGCCTTCACGCATGCAGGCCCTGCTGTTATACCTGGAGCCTGGCTGCTCCGGGGGCATCCCGTAAATAACCCGGGTCTGTACAACACATGTTGGAGACAAGCTGCCATCAGAAATGGTTTCAGCTGGAAAGCCAGAGACTGTCTCTGTGAACACTACAGTCATCTGGGATCGATTTCTCCACTCCCATTAAGCCCAGACCCTGGCTCCATTTGCATTGCTGAGACCATCATACGGAACTCATTTTTATTGCTTGGATGTTGGTCTCTCAACCACATCAATTACAGCCCTTTGTGTTACCATTGGATGAGTGTGAAATGAAATGTTGACAGCTTTGTTCTGTGAAGCAGTTCACAGATTGTGTGGAGATGGAATACTGTGTTCGTTGTGAGACTAAAGGAAGAAAAATTATAACTATGGACTTTAGGCTAAAAAGACAAATCAACTCCCTCAAAACACAAATACCACCCCCCCCCAAAAAAAAAATCAGTAAATTGTCGAATTGAGTGGAGACTTTTGGCTGCATTCAAACCTAACTTTGTAAACTTTGGGCAAGTGAGTCCTTGAATTCAAACCTAAAGAGTAATTTCCATGGTTATAGAAGTGAATATAATAGCATTGTTATTATTAGTATTAGCAGTGGTACATGAAATATTGAGTGGCTATTTGTTAATCTCACAGAGACTTGGTAAAAGTTTTTTTTGTGAAGTATATTTTAATAATGTTTTCCCTTTCTGAAATTCCTCCCAGATCCCTATCCACCCAAGTTATGTTCTTTCTCTCTCTCTCTCTCTCTCTCCTGCTCTCTTTCTCTCTCTCAAACAAACAAAAAACAAGAGACATGAAAGAACCCCCAAAATGAAAATTAAACAAATAAGCAAAAGACCAATTAAGGGGAAAAATGCTAGCAGGACCCACACCTTTAATCCCAGTACTCTGGAGACTAGGCAAGGAGATCTCTGTGAGTTCGAGGCCAGCCTGTTCTACAAAGCTAGTTCCAGGACAGCCAGGGCTACACCGAGAAACCCTGCCTCAAAAAACAGAAAGAGAGGGCTGGGCAGCAGTGGTGCATGTATTTAATCTCAGCACTCGGGAGGCAGAGCCAGGTGGATCTCTGTGAGTTTGAGGCCAGTCTGGTCTACAGAGTGAGATTCAGGACAGGCACAAAAACTACACAGAGAAACCCTGTCTGTGGAAAAAAAGAGAGAGAGAGAGAACATACAGTATTTGTCCTTTGGGGTCTGTGTTACCTCACTCAGGATAATTTTTTTCTAGCTCCATCCATTTACCCACACATTTTATAATTCCAAAATTTTTTAACAGCTGAATAATATTTCATTATGTAATTGTACCCCATTTTCATTATCCATTCATCAGTTGATGGAAATCTAGGCTGTTTCCAGTTTCTGGCTCTTATGAATAGAGTAGCAATGAACACGTATCTCTTGGATGAGCATGTATATCTGTAGCAAGATGAAGAGTCCTGTGGGTGTATGCCCAAAGTTAGTACAGCTGAATCTTGAGGTAGATCTAGTCCCAGCTTCCTGAGAAACCACCACGCTGATTTCCACAGTGGCTGTACAAGTTTGCACTCCTACCAACAATGAGCAAGTGTTCCCCATTCCTTGTGTCTTCATCAGCATGTGTTGTAATTGTTTTTTTATTTTTAACCTTGGCCATTCTGATTGGTGTAAGTGGAAATCCCAAGGCAGTTTCGATTTGCATTTGCTGATGACTAAGGATCTTGAACATTTCTTTAAGTGTTTCTCAGCCACTCGTGTTTCATCTTTTGAGAACTCTCTGCTGAGTTCTATACCCCAATTTTAATTGGTATATTTGCTTTCTTATGTTCAGCTTTTTGTTGGTGGTGGTGGTTTTGGTTTTAATTTTGGTTTTTAGCTCTTTATATATTTCAGATCCTAATCCTCTGTCTGATGTATTATTAATGAAGATCTTTTTCTGCCATTCTGTAGGATGCCACCTTACCCCAGGTGTCCTTTGCATACAGAAGCTTTTCAGCTTAGTGATGTGCCTTTTTTAATTGTTGTTTCCAGTGCCTGTGCTGACAGCATCCTATTCAGAAAGTCTTCTCCTGTGCCGATGAGTTCAAGACTAGTCTCCAGTTTCTCTTCTACCAGATCCAGGGTATCTGGTCTTAGGTTGAGACCCTTGGTCTATTTGGAGTTGAGTTTTGTGAAATGTTGTAGGTATGGATCTATTTGCATTTTTCTATATGCAGCCATCCAGTTTGACCAGCACCATTTGCTGAAGATGCTGACTTTTCTATAGGTTGTATTTTTTGGCTTCTTTGTCAAAAAGCAAGTGACCATAGAGGTGTGGACTTATGTCTGGGTCTTCAACTCAATTCCTTTTATCAATAGGTCTGTTTTTATGACAATATCGTTCTGTTTTTATTGCTATAGCTCTTTAGTAAAACTTGAAAGCAGGAATGGTGACACCTCCAGCAGCTGTTTTATTATTCAGGATTGCTTTAGCTACTTTGGCTTTTTGAGTTTCCACAAAAAGTTGAAGATTGTTTTTTCAATTTCTGTGAAGAATTGTGTGAAATTTTGTTGAGGATTGCACTGAATCTGTATATTGCCTTTGGTCAAGATAGCCATTTTTATAATATTAATCCTACTAATCCATGAACCTGGACGATCCATTTTCTGGTGTCTTCTTCAATTTATTTCTTCGTTGTCTTAAACTTTTTTATACAAATCTTTCAATTGTTTAGTTAGTTATTCCAAAATATTTTTGAGACTTTTGTGAAAGGTACTATTTCCCTAATTTCTTTCTCAGTCTGTTTGCGATTTGTGTGTAGGAAGGCTACTAATTTTTGTGTGTTAATTTTGTGTCTTGCTACTTTGATGAAAGTGTTTGTTGGCTTTAGGGGTTCCCTAGTGGAGTCTTTAGGGTCTTTTATGTGTAAAATCATATCATCTGTAAATAGGGATACTTTGACTTCTTCCTTTCCTGTTTGTTTCCCCCTTGATCTCCTGCAGGTTCTTTTTTTTCTGTTGTTTTATTTTGTTTTTGTTTTTTGGGGTTTTGTTTTTGTTTTTGCTCTAGCTAAGACTTCAAGTACTGTATTAAATAGGTGTGGAGAGAGTTGGGGCATCCTTATCTCATTGCTGATCTCAATGGAAATACCTTGAGACTCTTTTCTTTTAAGTTAATGTTAGCTGTGGGTTTGCCATCAATATCCTTTATTATGTTGCTGTATCTCCCTTGTATCCCTAGTCTCTCTAGGACTGCCTGATGTCAGATTTTGTCAAAGGCATTTTCTGTATCTAGTGTGATGACCATGTGGTTTTTGTCTTTCAGTCTGTTTATGTGGTAAATTAGATTTGTTGATTGGTATGTAGAATCATCTCTGCATCTCTAGAATGAAGCCAACCTGATCATGGTAGATAATGTTTTTGATGTGCTCTTGGATTTGGCTTCCAAATAGTTTATTGAGAATTTTTGCATCTATATTCATAAGGGATATTGGCCTATAATTTTCTATTTTTTGGTTGGGTCTTTGTATGGTTTGGTGTCAGGGTAATTGTGGCTTCATAGAAAGAATAGGAAATGTTTCTTCTGTTTCTTTTTTGCAGAATAATTTGAAGAGTATTAGAGTTAATTCTTATTTGAAGGTCAAGTAGAATTCTGTACTGAATCCATCTGGCTTCTGGGCTCTCCCTGACCATTCTCTCTCTCTCTCTCTCTCTCTCTCTCTCTCTCTCTCTCTCTCTCTCTCTCTCTCTCTCTCTCCCTGCTTCCAGTTTGGAGAAAAAAAATGACTGCTTCTCTTTTAATAGGGGTTATGGGTCTGCCTATTAGATACTGACTTAACTTTGTAGGTTGCATATATCAAGAAATGCACACATTTCTTTTAGGTTTTGCAGTTTGGGGGAATACAGAATTTAGAGTATGTCCTTATGATTTTCTGAATTTTCTCAATGTCTGTAGTAATGTCCCCTTTTCATCTTTAATTTTATTAATTTGTGTCTTTTCTCACCATCTTTATTGGTTTTGTTAATCTTGTTGGTTTTCTCAAAGAACCAGCTCTCTGTTTCATTGATTCTTTGTATTTGTTTCTATTTCATTGATTTCAGCCCTGAGCTTGTTTGCTTTTTGCCCTCTACTCTTCCCAGGTTTTTCATGCTGTCGGGCACTTCATACCATGAACTTGCCTCTTAGAATGGCCTTCATTGTGTTCCGTAGGTTATATATTCATTCTCATTCATTTCTAAAACATTTTAATTTCCTTTTGGATTTTTGTCTTTATTGATTGGTTGTTTTGTTTAGTAGTGAGTTGTTCAGTTTCTTTGAGTTTGTATACTTTATCTGCTTCTGTTGTTGATAATCAGTTTTAATCCATGGAGGTCAGACGGGATGCAGGGTTTGGGGGTTGGTTGGTTGGTTGGTTGGTTTGCTTGCTTTCAGTTTTCTTATATCTGTTGAGACTTACTTTGTGTCCTAGTATGTAGTCAGTTTTGGAGAAAGTTCCATGAGCTGCTAAAAAGAACATATACTCTTTAATGTTTGGGTGGCATGATCTGTAGTGTCTGCTAGGTTCATTTGACATATGATGTTATTTAGTTCCAGTATCTCTCTGTTTAGTTTTTGTGGGGATGACCTGTCTATTGGTGAGAGTGGGGTGCTGAAGCCTCCTACCATCACTGGGTGAAAGTCAGTCTGTGATTTTAGCTGTAGTAGTGTTTCTTTTATAAACTTGGTTCCCCTGTGTTTGGTGCATAAATGTTCAGAATTGCAATATCTTCTTGGTGAATTTTCCTTTAATAAATATGCAGTGTCCTTCACTATCTCTTCTGATTAGTTTTAGTTTGAAGTCTATTTTGTCAGATATTAAAATGGCTACCCCTGCTTGCTTCTTGGGTCCACTTGCTTGGAATACCTTTTTCCATCCTTATACCCTGAGTTAACATCTGCCTTGATTGAAGCTGAAAGATGGATCCTGTTTTCTAATCCAATCCATTAATGTGTCTTTTTATTGGGGAATTGAGACCATTAATATTGGAAGTTGTCGATGAGTCATATTTATTGATTCTTGTTATTGTATTGTTACGGTGTGGGGTTTTTGTCACGTGTTTTCTGTGGTTTGACCTGGGTTTCTTTTCCTTCCTCGACCCTTGTTTTTCATAGGTGTGGTCTTCTCATGGTATTTCAGATATCACTGATGCTTTGTGCCTGGATATTTTTTAGATTTAACATTTTCTTTGCCTGAACTATCCATTTCTTCTACCTTGTTTTCAAGGCCTGAAATTCTTTTTTCCATGTCCTGTAGTCCATTGGTTAGGCTTTTCTTTGAGGCTTTTTGTTTGATATCCTAAGTTTTTCATTTCCAGTTTTATTTCAGTTTGGGATTTCTTTAGTTAGTCTATTCCCACTTTCGTGTCTTGAAATGCTTCCATTCTTTCACTTAACTGTTTGTGTTTTCAATCTTCACTAA